CTCTGAACTGGCCTCTGAGATCTCAACCTACTTCCAATCATAAAAAATATTTTTCTTTGCATTGGCAGCAATGATTATTTAACACGGTTAAGTATAATAAAAAACGCCAATTTATAAATTAACTTATAAAATTGTATTTCATAGTAGGAAAAAAATTAAACATTTTCATTTATATTCTTCACTACTGTAACATTCATTCCAAGCTTTTGCATTTACTTGTTTAAGAACAGTTTTTAAAAATGTTCCAGGACCACATTCAAATGTTTTTGGGAAATGTTCACTTGGATCACGTTCATATGCTACATGGAGTAACTGTTCCCATTTTACTGGCTTTATTATCTACAAAAAAAAAAAACAAAAGTAAAAGTAGGTACTATTCTAACAAGAAAAAAATTAATGGCCGTTTGCATTAAAAAATATACAGGGTGACACGAACGAATTATATTGCAGAAGTTTATTGAATTTCAATTGAAAAATGTGCCATAAATTTGATTACGTGTTAGGTTATCTTGTAAATGATGTTTATAAGTTAATAGGATTTTCTCCCCAATGGAGGTTTTTAGAGAGAAGTCTGGAGAAAGGTTCATAGTCAGGATTCGGGAGGGATCCAGTAACCAGATTGTCACCTTTTAGCGCATGATAATTCTGTTGAAATAGTATCACTGACATGGTGAGACTGTTCCATCTTGATAAGTCAATAATACAGGGTGTCTCACCAAGAATCGCCACTATCGATATCTGGGAAGGTACTGATCTGATAAATCTGAAAACTTAGCAACCTAGCAAAGACAGTTGGGCCAACACAGATAAAATATTTAAAACTTTATGGCCCTTCCGGTTATACCGGAAGTCGACATTCACTTTTTTATTTTAAATGGGACACCCTATATATTATTGTATTTTAGGATTCTACGTCAAATATGAGGGTAACTTTATTAAATATTCCCTATACCTAGGACTTATAGATTTTGAGATTTTAATTTTTAAAGAAAAAATTTTACAGATGCAAGGATTCGCGGAGATGCTAGTAACTGTTTTCAGGTGTGTGATATCAAGAGGATTTTTGGTACCTGTACCATAGGTAACACTAAATCATGGTATACCGACAAATTAAAACATTTAATACTAGGTGTTTCATTTTTGCTGTTACATTTTGATAACTTCAGACAGCTATAACTTATTTAACTTAAATGGAACATCCTGTATTTTTTTACTCTATCGTATGAAGATTGAAATTTAAGCATTGTTAAGGTTGCCGTTACTATTTTTAGAGATATTTGCAATTTTTTATTTTTTTGGACAGCTTTTCTCGTTATCAAATTGGCCATCACCAGATACACTCCAAAAACAATTAAAATAACTGACATTTGGCAAGTTAGTTGTCAAACTATTGTTGTGTCTGCAATAGTGTTCGCCCAAAATTTAAATAAAAATGCCTAGGGAGTGGAGATCGTTCAAATTATACTAATGTCCACAAATTGCCTTCATAAATTGCGTGAAGGTTTTCAATTTTCTAGATATCGAGCAGCAAATTTTCTACATGTTCTTAAAATTATTTTGTCACATTTTCCATAAACAAACAAAATAAAATAATTCTCATTAGTATAATTTAAACGATCCCCACTCTCCAGGCACTTTTATTTGAATTTTCGGTAAAGACACGACAATAATTTGACAATTAATTTGCCAAATGTCAAGTTATTTTAATTGTTTTTGGAGTGTTTCTGGTCACAGCCAATTTGATAATAGGTCTGATACGAGAAAAACTGTCCAAAAAATAGAAAATTGTAAATATCTCTAAAAATAGTAAAGGCAACCATAACAATGCTTATATGGCTAGAAAGTAAATTTCGATCTGCATAGGTCGGAGTGAAACAATACAGGGTGTGTCATCTAAGTTAACAAAGTTATAGCTGTTTGAATGTTTTAATTTGATGGTATGTCTAGTTTACTGTTACCTATGCCCTTTACAAGTACCAAAAATCCACTTGACATTACGCTCCTGAAAAGAATTACCTTGTATCTTCGCAGACCGTTGCATCTGTCAAATTTTTTCTTTAAAAATTAATATCTCAAAATCTCCTAAGTATAGGGAATATTTAATATTTAAGTATACCTTCAAACTTCACATAGAAACCGAAAATGTAATAATGTTTACCTACGACCACTACTGTAAATACTTAAAAACACACCGTCCACGATGAATGTAAGATTCTTATTACGTACGGTAAAAAAATCGCAGTTTTCCTAGCAACCGCCTAGCAACGGTCAATACAATACTGTTTGTATTGACCGTTGCTTGGCGGTTGCTAGGAAAACTGTATGATTCTTTTACCAAGCTGTGCGATTTTTTTTGCAGTACGACGTAATAGGAATCTTGCATTGATCGCAGACGGTGTGTTTTTAAGTATTTACAGTAGAGGTCGTAGGTAAAGTATAGTACGTAATACGTGGTGTAATGCAATTACGCACTCATAGAATTACGCACTCATAGAATTACGCACTACGCCACTACGCGGCGTCGTGCGTAACTTTTCCATTCGTGCGTACAATGCTTTTTACAACACTTATTACGTAATATATTAATATAGGCTGTTACAAATTCGTTTCTCACTACAAGGATTCGCAAACAGTAAGAGATACAAACTAGCTTAAATGGGGGCAAAGTTGCATAATCAGGGGACTAACATTATGCTTCTAAAAAATCAAGGCTAACATGATTAGTTTTTTAAATATTTGAAAAAAAAACCGAAATTTTGAAAACCCGTTTTTGTTTCATTCAGCCTTGTTTGAGGTGATATTGAAAAAAAAAGAACACTTTCTCATGGCCACTTTTTGCCCTCTATCGAATGACATAATCAATCTTTATATGTAACGTTTCGTGTCTCTAGGACCATTATCAACTTCATTTTTTTAAATACGACCCTAAAAATTTAATTTTTTGTAAGGCTTTATGACCCCCAATACTGTACTGCCTCAGCCCGAACCAGATTCAGACGGTTTGTCTCGAAAAATTAATCTTCAGTGTATTCGTTCCAAATTTATCTAAAATTTTTATTTAGATTTATTTGTTTATTGAATTATCGTACACTGTAAGTGTTGTTAGACCCTGTGAAATCCATCTCGTTATTTAAACTATTACCACCACACATTAAAATAAAAAATTATTACAGTTTTATTCCTGTGTCCAGTTATTTCTAGGCTTCTCGAATTTAAATAAATTCCAATCTTTTTTTTTTTTTTCAGGATATTCATACAAATACATCTGACATGCTCTTTCACAGTTGCGGTTACAGGTATAATAAATTCCGATAATATTACGCTGATATTCATTTTCAACCTCTGCCAAAACAAAAATGTTTTTGAACATTTACTGAATTTTTTAAAGAATAATATTCAGTTGGAGTTTTGGTTGTTCATATGCATTTTTAAGAATTAATTTGTCATAATAAAATTTAAATTGTAATAGTGTTTTAATTTTGATGCAACAACTTACTGAGTTATGTATGAAGTGATGGTAATAGGTAGTTAATAATAATAAATGTTTTATTGTAACGTATGGTGGTAATAGTTTAAACTATTTTCCTAATGCAATGGAAATGCAAGCCTAGCAGAGCGACGTTGGGCACAAACTTATCCCAACAGACCACATCCTAAAAGGAAGTTTTTCTTAAATTTACACGGTATAACAACTGGAAAAAAACATATTTTAAATATCAAAATATACATTTTCATACTTTAAATAACTAGGTGCATTGGTGGAGTGTACGATAATTTAAAAACATAGAAATCTAAACAAAAATTGGATTTTGATAAACGAATACACTGAAGATGAATTTTTGTAGACAAAATGTCTGAACCTGGTTCGAGCTGAGGCAGTACAGTCTTGGGAGTCATGAAGACTTGCAAAAAATGTAATAAAATTTCCAGGGTCGTATTTAAAAAAATGAAGTTGATGATGGTCCTGGAGAGACGAAACGTTACATATAAAAATTGAGTATGCCATTCGATAGAGGGCAAAAAGTTGCCATGAGAAAGTATTCTTATTTTTTCAACATCACCTCAAACTAGGCTGAAATTACACTAAAACGGAGATCCAAAATTTGGATTTTTTTTTTAAATATTTCGAAAACTAATTATGTTAGTCTTGAATTTTTAGAGGCATCATGTTAGTCCCTTGATTACGCAACTTTACCCCCATTTAAGCTACTTCGTATCTCTTACCGTTCAGAGATCACTGTAGTGAAAAGCGAATTTGTAACAGCCTGTATATGCAGTGAAAATATTTGTATCTTTATATTAATTTTTTGTTTGATCTTTGATTTTGCGGGAATGGTCACCCCATCCCCCTCATCCCCTGCATTGGATCCCTCCTTCAGTTTAGGAAATAGTCAGAAGTCACTCGGTGCTAAATCATGCGAATACAGTGGTTGCAGAACAATACGAGTTGAATTTTTTGCGAAATCGTGTGTGACCCAGTGAATTATCATGATGCAAAAACCAAGAGTTGTCTGTCCATAATTTGGCCTTTTGCGGGGAATAGCATCATGCAAATGATGCATAACACTCAAATAATGTTCCTTGTTACGGTTTGACCGGTTGGAAGAAATTCATAGTACACTACGCCATGATAATCAAAGAAAACTGTCGTAAGTGTAGATCCAAGTCTCGTCTCCAGTAATGATGTGTTTCATGACGTCTAGTCAGAAATCATTGCTTCATAGATGTCGACACGTCGCTGTTTTTCCAAAAAATTGAGCGTTTTTGGAACCAAACGAGACTTGACATGTCTAAAGCACAGCAAAACTTTTAAAATGGTATTTACCAAACCTTTTGAAATGCCAACAGTATCAACAAGGTCGGCAGTTGCAAGCACAAGATCTTATTTTCTGGATATTTTTGTAACGAATCAATTTAAGTAACAACATATTTGAAATAGACAGACTAACTTATTAAATTACCTGAGTGGGTAATTGCCTTCTGATATGATCAGCATTTCTGTAGCTTTTTCCATCAACGCAAGAATATACAGTTATAACTGGTTCAGAAACCTTACATTTTTTAAGAGCTTTTCTAAACGGTTCAACTGCAGAAGCCATTAAATCACAATGGAAGGCACCATTTACAGATAATTTTTTAATTTTCCGTATACCGAACTCTCTATAATGTTGCTCGAGGAAAAGTATTGCCTAAAAAATTTTGAGTGGTACATCAAAATAGAAACATTATTTGTTTCATACCTACCGATTCACTGCCAGATACAACTTTACAATGTGGATATAAGTAATTGGCTACTTTACATTCTGGAAATACGTCACCTTTATCCTTAGCCCATTCTTTGGCTTTTAAACAAGCATAGCTTAATTTACTGTCAGGTCCATAAATTACTATAGCCATTCCTCCTTTATATATTTCACTGACTGACTGCATAGCTTCTGCTCTAACCTTTACCAAATGAAGTGCTGAAATTAATTAAAATCTCATTAATTATGACTAAGTGTTGCAGGATACAGACTAAACAATGATAGATAGGCTAAACAATGATAGATAAACTTTTTTCAAAATCCTAGTTCACTTGATTGGTTTTCAATAAACAAAGAATTTCTTGAATTTAATTAATGGGCCAGTCAATAGAGCATTAAATTAGTGATTTTGTAACAAAAATACTAGTAGCAAACGGACTGTGTCAATCATATAAAAGACACTCTGTAGATATATGATTATATGTTTCCCACTCCAATTTATCATTAATTAATTTTTTATAAACATTTTCATGCAAAAAGCGCATTTTTTTAGTTTTTTGCTTATAAAACCTAAACTAACGAAGCAATCTGAATGCTATAGACAATTACCACTTAAATTAATATTAAACTATACTATAACCAAAAATACTCAAAATTGTATACCTATACATCCACTGCCCCTCATCTCCCGAACTTCCCCCACTACTCGACTTCGTACGCGCCCTCTACTGTTTTTGAGCATGTTTGGAGGAATTTTTCACCTATTTCGCATCATTTTATTGGAAAATTAGAATATACAATTTGTGGTGTTATACTTTTACTTTTGAAATCCGGCTGAAAAATTAAAATCGGAGCACCTCCAACTCATCCAGAAATTTTGCAAAATAGTGCATCAAAAAAATTGAAATTGTAATTGTGCCAAAACTAATGGTTCGATAGTGCCTGCTTTGTGCACACTGAAAGTATATATAATTCACTACTTTTGTGCTCAGAGTTAACTCTACGACTTAAAATATGGTGGTAATGAATTTTTAAAAATACGCTAAATTTTCCGATTTTGCCGGGTGTTCTTCATTTCTAATAATCTGATCGACCTCACGTTTTATTCATATTTCGATTTTTCAAATTGTCTATAGCATTGAGATTGCTTAATTAGTTTAGGTTTTATAAGCAAAAAACTAAAAAAATGTGTTTATTACATAAAAATGTTTATAAAAAATTAATGGTAAATTGGTGTAGGAAACATACAGGGTGATTCAGAACTTATCCAAAAAAAAATTGTGGATGTACAGGGGACCCATACAAAAACAATTTTGTAAAGAAAAAATAAAAAAGGTAGTTCGTAAATGATTTAAAAATACACTTCTGCACTGCACTGGAAACTGGTCCACTGTAAAACCTGACCTCGCACAATGCGACCGGCATGGCGGTGTGGACACTGTACAATTACTAAAAATATTTATGTTTATACAGTGTGTCACCTAACGAATGTTACATACTTCAAGGTTCAAGGGTATAATCTAGAACCCAAATGGTGTCGAATTCTCTACATATTTCTGATAGTTGTGTATTGTGTAAAAAATATGGGGTATGTGTTAATAAATATTTTCTGTAATATCTTCATAACCGAGCATAATTTCGACTTTTGATAGGTATACATTTTGTGTGTAGAATAAAATTCTCTACCTATTTCTGATAGTTGCATGTAAAAATTTAAACGTACAAAAAAGTTACAGAAGAATATTCACAAAGGGTTGTGAAATGGACGCCCTTAAGAGAAACTAAGCAACAGCAAATTTTGCTCAAATCGGTTAACTGGGTTCTGAATTAAGGAGAAAACAATAAAAAAGAAATTTTAACACACTGTAACTTTTTTTTGCGACATTTTTTGTTTACGCAAATTTGGTTAAATTAACACCATTTGGGTTCTAGATTATACTCTTGAGCTTTTTATTATGATGTATTTAAAAAAACCTGCATTATTTTAAACAGTACTTTAATTATAATTAAATGTTGATAATTATCAATATAACAAACATACACAGACATTCTTAGTATGTTTAAAAAGTGATGTAATATAAGCGATTTTACATAACATGTACAGAACATAATAAGTACTTTTGAGTAAATGTTTTTAGAAAAACATTATAAAGATTTTGTTAAGTTGCAGGATATATCTAAAATGGTGGTGCTGTTAGTAGTATTTTTAATAGAACATAACAGGTATGATGTCAATGCGAGATTTTTTTGTACAGTGGGTAATAGCGTTTTCCTCATATACAGTGCTTTCGAAAAGTAATGAATAAATTCGTTATTTTTTAAATTGAGAAGTTTTCGAAAATATCCCCTGGCACGTCGATTTTGTTTTTAAAAAAGGCACTTTTTGACATACGACCCATATTTGTGCCGTCATCGTTGTTCGAGATATGACGTCATCGACAATTTTTTTAAATAGCAACCCCCAATTTTGACCATGCCATTTGAAAGAGTGTGTCATTCTACATACACAGATCATGAAAAATTATTGTGTTACATAACAAAAATTTCAAGAAAATAATGTTTGAAGATTTTAAAATTTAATTTTCACAATACTGAAAATGATAATGATTATGTAAAAATCGACTAAATTAAATGTTCAAATTGTGCACCGTTGGCTGCCTGACAGTAGCCNATACAGTGCTTTCGAAAAGTAACGAATAAATTCATTATTTTTTAAATTGAGAAGTTTTCGAAAAAATCCCCTGGCACGTCGATTTTGTTTTTAAAAAAGGCACTTTTTGACATACGACCCATATTTGTGACGTCATCGTTGTTCGAGATATGACGTCATCGACAATTTTTTTAAATAGCAACCCCCAATTTTGACCATGCCATTTGAAAGAGCGTGTCATTCTACATACACAGATCATGAAAAATTATGGTGTTACATAACAAAAATTTCAAGAAAATAATGTTTGAAGATTTTAAAATTTAATTTTCACAATACTGAAAATGATAATGATTATTGCTATTTAAAAAAATTGTCGATGACGTCATATCTCGAACAACGATGACGTCATAAATATGGGTCGTATGTCAAAAACTGCCTTTTTAAAAACAAAATCGACGTGCCAGGGGATTTTTTCGAAAACTTCTCAATTTAAAAAATAATGAATTTATTCGTTACTTTTCGAAAGCACTGTACAATGGCGGAGATGCAGGAGGTAATTATGTTTGTTGTTTACGGTTATAAAGGGTGATTTCACTTTAAATATATAAACTGCAGGACTAGATTCACTACCAAAAAATAAGTAGTATACTTTTTTATTTAAAAAAAAACGCCAGTGGCGTATTCTTTTCATGGGAAAAGCTGGCAAACACTTTAGCAGCACAGCACTGGTTAAAACCAGGAGGTTTTCATCAAATAAATGGATTAATTTATTAGGAAAATTCAATAAAATGTAAAACAAGCCCAAATATCTCCTAAACGGCTGATACTATTAAAAAAACTCCAAGAAACATTTTTCATTCATTTAACGTAACAATTACTGAATGTAACATTATTTCTACAACAAACCACCACTGGCGTATTTTTTTCTTGGGAAAATGAGGCAGCACCTCCAGAACCACACCACTGATTAAAGCCAGAAGGTTAATATTACATTTAATAAAAAATTTAATTAAGTGAATACGCTGTAGTAAATTTCAATCAATTCCGTCAGCGCATTATGAAGATATGGCAGAAAATATATATATTTTTTGTAAACTTTAACACCCTGTATCTCAAATCCCGCAGGAAAAAAGTTTATAGAGCAAACTCTACTTATTTTTTGGTAATGAATCTAGTCCTGCAGTTTCTGTATTTAAAGTGAAATCACCCTGTATAGATGAAGCAGACCAACTTCGACTCTTTTGAAGGATTTCTTATATTTCCCGAAGAGTCAAGGATTCGATTTTCGAAGTAAAACACAAAAAAACCATTCCTCAATATCTTGATTCATTTAAAACACATGAGGCATTTTTCATTCTTAGTAATTTTTCTGTAATATTGAATGTTTTTTATTTGTTTCTTTTTAAATAAATTATTTCACCTTAACTATAACTAGGTATGTACAGATTAACTAACATGTAAACACATGCAATTGATAATATAGTAGAATACCTAGTATATGTAGAATAAAGTGGTAGAGAAATGAAAGACTGACCTCACATTTGTTCTTTTAATTTTTATAGGTTTTCTCAAATACCTCTCGTAAAGTGTAAAAGCATTTACTTATGAGGTATTTTGTCAAAATTGTAGTTTGGTCTCCACGATCACCAGACTACAACAAATGTGACTCCTTTCTTTAGGGAACATTAAAAGAATTTGTATATTCCTCGCCAGTTGCGTCTCGAGCAGAATTGTGGAATCGCATTACGGATAAATGTACATTCATTAGAAACAATCAGCAGTTATTTTATAGAGTAGACTTCAATTTTGAACAATTTCTATAACTTATCAGTGCAAACTGTGTTATTTATGTTGTTTAAATTGTTTGTTTTTTTATTAAATTATTCTTATCCCAATTTTTTTCCTCATCCTCAAGTTTGACATTTAAATTAGTAGCAAACTTTGAATTTTCGATGATTTTAAATAGGTAACAGCTACAATATGTATTATTAGTTATTCATATTCTTGTTGAAAACTACAGATTTTTATGTACCTGAAGTTCCGAACGTTCGTTTGAATGAAAATGAAAACCTATAATATTACGTTTAATCGTACTTAAAATGATTTTACCACCTAAATTCTGGCTTCTGTAGACGAAAACAACACTTCCCCATCATCGGAAGCCACCCCACATATCAACCACCCTTAAAACTTAGTTACTTGTATTTTAGAAAATTAGCCCCGTACCACCCTATATTTGACATAGGTTGTTAACATT